CACAGTTTATGATTGCTTGGGGAGGGGTGGGTTCTTGAACTACAAAGAGTACCGAATAGAAGGCCCCGAGAACGGGAAACCAAAAAACAAAACAAAAAAAGCAACATCAATTTACTGATTATGCACATTTATCGTAGATCAACATTGACCAGAAAATTTGGTGCATTATAATAATTTAATTCCCGTAGCTATGCAGAAGACGTTACTTATTATTATTATTTTTTCTTTTCTTATTTTGTTAGGGATTTCCCAACAGGCAATGTTGCCTTATATATGTATACGACTCCCTGATGTATCTCTTTGTCTGTCACCAGTTAATCCCATATACAGTAAAACCTGTAACTAAAGACCACCGTGACTAGCGACCAGCCTGGTACTACAGGCCACTTTGCCAGGCATGGACGGTCTCACATTCATACATGGTTGGGCGGTGCAAACCTCTAACTAAGGACCACCTGCCACTAAAGACCGCTTTCTCTGGCCCCAAGGGGTGGTCGTTAGTCACAGGTTTTACTGCAGGTGGTCCTTAGTTAGAGGTTTGCACCGCCCAACCATGTATGAATGTGAGACCGTCCATGCCTGGCAAAGTGGCCTGTAGTACCAGGCTGGTCGCTAGTCACGGTGGTCTTTAGTTACAGGTTTTACTGTATAGGAATAGACTTCAAGACGCATTTCCCTCAGCAATTAAAGTCCAGCAACACCCTCAATGGGTTTTTAAGCTTGATAAATGTACACGTACGTCGATCTTCATTTACTAATCATTGATTTTCATTCTCTTTGTGTATTACTTCAAGCTCCAAAGTAAATCACATACATTTATGCTACCTGTACAATTCATTTGGGTTTTGGATTGATTTTTATAATTGATTTTGGTTTTGGATTGATTTACTTTTTATTTCATTTTCATTTTCATTTAACTTGCCATATTTTGCGTGTGCATTTTTGCCTCTTCTTGTTCTTTTATTCCATGGCTGGTAGCCCTCATTCATAATATTGGTTGACACCATGTCATCCATGAATTGAGAATAATAATAATAATAATAATAATAATAATAATAATAATAATAATAATAATAATAATAATAATAATAATAGGTAAACAGTTTCCTCTGAGACAAAAATGCGATAATACTCATAAAAAGGACACACTTCAGGCTCATTACAAACATCTTGAAAGTTTTTGTCTTCACAAGTATACTTTCAAGCCTTCTCATCAGGTGAAATACAGGCAAGAGAAAAGGAACCGGAACAGTGGATTAAATACAGTAAGAAGGTGGTAAAACAGCGCAAAAAGAAAGAAAGAAAGAAAGAAGATAGCTAAAGTAAACAGCGAAAATTGCAATAATGACACAAAGGTGCAAATGCGAGAAAACTCAATAAGCGCGACATGTAGTGCGACAACAAGAGACAACCACTGGACATACATGTAACTAACGAGGTTTTGACGACCTACCTAACAGCCTAAGTGTGAATTTGATTTGTTTCTGTTTGCAAAGGTTGGGTTTCCTTGTGTGGATGTATACAGCTTCCAAAACATTCAGCAATCTAGCACTGCGTACACGTGACACAATCGAAAAACAATCATCCGAATACACAGCACGACAATCAGGATGCTCAAACAAATGACTAGCAATGGACGACTCATACTTATCAGAACTAACATCAGAACAATCAGCATGTGCGGTGGACACATCCGATTTCACATGGCTAGTCGAGTGGACCCTAGCCGTTGCCTCTGTCTGTGCTTTAGTCGCTGCCATCGCCGCCGTTGCCGATCTTGTTATTCTTCTGGTTGATGTGGTTCCTGTCACTGCCACGCACGTAGGTGTCTTGTCCGGTTGTTTTTCTGGTGGTCTAGTTAATTGTGAGGTGACGTTCCTTGGTGTTGATGCCGCTGCGTTGGACCATCTTGTACCAGGATGATTCTTTGCTGGACGTCCCCTCCGTGGTCGAGTGGATCGTGCGTGTTGTGGAATAAGGTGTAGCGGTGCGTGTTGTCGGATGCGTGCGTCCAGATGTTGAAGAGTCCTACCTACATATCGGCTCTCACATTGCCGACACTCGAAGTGATAAATCAACTTGGATAATTGGCCTGTAGGTAGGACGTCCTTCCTCACCGTGAACGCACGCACCGTGGAGTAGATGAAGCGAATATGAACATTATGGTAATTGGACTCCACGGCAGACTTAACCCGACGCTGAACCATACGTGATACTGACTCGCCCTTCCACGGTAAACATAGGTATACTGGATTAGCGGAAACTTCAGCATTCTTCTTTGGACTGGTCTCAGTTACATACTTCACAATAACAGACTCGGGGTATCCATTGAGACGAAAAAGCGCACGTAACTTCTCCAACTCCTGCTCCAACCTTGAAGACGAACAAAGGCGACGTGCACGATCCACCAAATTACGCAACAAATTGATCTTATACAGTGTCGCGCAAAACGAATCCCAAACAATGTACAAGCCAGTGAACGTAGGCTTGCGATAGACCGACGTGACAACACCACCATCAATTGACTTCTCAACGAGCACATCAAGAAAAGGTAGACGATCTGACTCCTCAAATTCACACGTGAAATCCAACATACCATCAACAACCTTCCTCAGCAGATCACGAAATTGGAGGCACTGAGCCTCAGACTGAAAATACGAGAAAGAATCATCGACAAATCTCACATACAATGGGGGCATCAAACTAACCGGAATCTGACATTCGTAATAACCAACAAATATATTTGCCAAAACAGGACCAAGGGGCGAACCCATAGCAACACCATCAATCTGTCGATACATGACACCATCAAAGGAAAACTCCACACCTGACGTTACCAAGCGGATCATTTCGCGGAACGAATCTTCACGTAACTCGCCAGGCGGACATAGTGAGCGATGATATAGCGTTTCGCAGCAAATATCAATGACTTTATCCAAAGGGACATTTGTGAACAGACTAACAACATCGTAAGAGCACATAACATAGGTATCGGGGAAGGAGTGGTCGCGCAGAATATCGACAAATTGAAAACTATCGCGAACTACATACCGACTGTATAATTCTAAAACGGGTTGCAACATTCTACACAGCCAGCGAGAAATCTTATACTGGGGAGAACCTAACATAGAAAGGATGGGCCGGACAGGACAATCCCTCTTATGAATCTTCGGTAAGCCATACATTCTAGGGCGAGCTGAACCCAAAGGCTTAAGCAGCTTAGCCTCATAGTCAATCAGTTCCTTCGACTCAACCAACCTATCAAGAAAGGCGCATAATTTATCTTCAATTATAGAGGTACGATCATGTGACTCGACGGGACCTAACTTAACAAACTTAGAGGCATCGCAAAGAATGTGAAGGGTCTTAGCAATATATTCGGCTTTCTTCAAAATTACTACGGCTCGACCCTTGTCAGGCCTTGTGATGACTATATCTGGATTATGAGTCGTCCATTGCTAGTCATTTGTTTGAGCATCCTGATTGTCGTGCTGTGTATTCGGATGATTGTTTTTCGATTGTGTCACGTGTACGCAGTGCTAGATTGCTGAATGTTTTGGAAGCTGTATACATCCACACAAGGAAACCCAACCTTTGCAAACAGAAACAAATCAAATTCACACTTAGGCTGTTAGGTAGGTCGTCAAAACCTCGTTAGTTACATGTATGTCCAGTGGTTGTCTCTTGTTGTCGCACTACATGTCGCGCTTATTGAGTTTTCTCGCATTTGCACCTTTGTGTCATTATTGCAATTTTCGCTGTTTACTTTAGCTATCTTCTTTCTTTCTTTCTTTCTTTTTGCGCTGTTTTACCACCTTCTTACTGTATTTAATCCACTGTTCCGGTTCCTTTTCTCTTGCCTGTATTTCACCTGATGAGAAGGCTTGAAAGTATACTTGTGAAGACAAAAACTTTCAAGATGTTTGTAATGAGCCTGAAGTGTGTCCTTTTTATGAGTATAATAATAATAATAATAATAATAATAATAATAATAATCCTCTTTCATCCCGTTCTCCCCTCTTTTTTGGGGATTCTTTGTACTTCGTCTTTCTTGTTTTCCTTGTTCCTTTGTTTTTTGTAGGACAGATTTTTGGTGTACTGATTTCGGTCGTTGTTGTGTCTGACTCTATTCCCAATATCTAATTCTGTGGTTGGTTTTCCAACTCATTGGGTTGTAGTTTCCATCATGAGTTTGATTCCATCGTGAGTTTGATTCCATCGTGAGTTTTGATTCTATTTGCTATTTTTCGTTCCATTTTTGAGCTCATATTTTATTTTCCTGATTTCTTCTCCAGTGTATGTTGTATTGCATTTTAATACATTGTGTTAATTTTTGCCCGTAAAAGAGGCTTGCATAATTAAAAAATAAAAAAAAAAAAAAAATAATAATAATAATAATAATAGGAAGTCACTATATCAATCGCCACAACAGGTTAGCAAAATATCTCCACTGGACATTGTGCAGGAAGTATGGTGCATCGGACATTTCGAATAAGTACACAAGTCACCAACTCACCAACGTCGTGTACAGTGCTGAAACGGATGTGTTGCAGTTAGACTGGTGCAGCATGCTGGCTGTTAGAGTACAATCATTCATGCGTGATATGGATAGGCGGACGTTAGAGCTATGATCCATGTGTGCTTCTATTCATGCATTCCCATCAAGAAGGCCATGTGTCAGGTCTATTCAGTACTCTGGTGTCTAGACGTCTGCATTCTATTGTTGTATCACATTACATGGTCGAGTGTTGCCATAGGGTCTTTCTATACCATGTATGTGCGTGCACTGTTATTAGCTATTGCTATCTTTTGTTAGGCCAGAGTTGGTTTTAGCCTAGTTGTGGAGATGTTCAGGTTTTAGTTCTTGGAGAGTTGTGACTGTTTTCAGATCATGAGTCAGTGTAAACATTGTGTCCTGGAGATCTTTGTGTGTGGATAATCCCGGTTCCGGGGAGAAACGGAATATCTGGTCCTTCGAGCCGGATCTGGAAATAGTCATCATGGAAGGTGAAGATAGGAGTACGCGCAGAAGTGCGCGGTCAACGAGAGGTGTAGCACCTCCCCGTTTGGGTTTTGAAGAAGAGCGCTCGATGCGCAGTAGTAGGAGATCAGGAGGAGGACAGTCCCGATCTTCATACGAGACTCAGCGTCGAGTTCTGGAAGCAGAAAAGAGGCTCCTGGAGAAGGAGCTTGAGCTCGTGAGGTTAGCTCAAGACGAAGCGTCGTCAAGTGGCCAAGGGGCCAAAGGATCGTCCTCTCCCAAGATGGCCTCCGAAGTCTTCGCAGAGGAGCTCATAGAAGGCCATGAAGCTGATGCAGCCGTTGACGCTGGCCAAGGAGATGAGGCTAGTATGGGTGAAGTAGAAGTTGCGCACCTGCCAGAACATGCAGTGGCTGTTTCTCACGATCCAGAGCCGCACGCAGTGCCGAGTCCCAGTGTAGCCGGAACTGTCAGTGCCCACACAAGCAGGAGTTTGCCTGTGGCGGTGAGGACTGAGTCTGAGGTCGCACGTGCGTCGACGAATACGGAGCAGGCCAATCTGTCAGGGTTGCGAGTGCAACAAGAGTTTGTGCTGAAAGAGAAGCGCTATCAGCGGGAACTGAGCGAAGCTCAATCAATAGCGGACGCCGAGCAGCGACGTGTAGCGAAATTGAACAAGGATCTTGCGAGCGCTCGTGCAGACCTGTCATCGCTGCAGGCGGAAAATAGGCGAGTCACGCAGGAAAAAGAGGTGTGCGAAGCTGAGCGGGATGTATCGGAAAGGGAACTGCGCGAGCTGCAGCCGCATCTCGAGCGCCTGGAAAGAGAACACCAGGAGGGGCGCATGTGTTTGGAAGATCTCCGCGATCAGAATGACCGCTTGCTGACGCGAGCCGAGCAGGTTTCAGCAGAGCAACACGCGCAGCGAGCTGAACTGCTCGACAAGCTCGAACGCCTTCGCGCGGAGAACGCCAGCCTGCAACAGCGGGCGGATCGAGGCGGAGGCCGAGGGTCGGATGAGCAGCGAACACAGCGAGCGGAGTTGCTAGTTCAGCTGGACCAGCTTCGCGGAGAAAATGATCGCCTGCGGAGGCGTGCGGACCACGACCAGTACACCGCACAGTGTTCTAGTGCGCAGCAACAGGAGCTACGCAGTCGGATTCAGAGCGATCAAGAGCCGGAGGAGATAGTGAAGACGCACCAAGCTTGGCAAGCAGCTGGTTCCACGGTCAAAGGCCTTCAGCAGGATGGACGTGGGCAAGCAGATGAGGGTCTGCAAAGCCAGCTATCAAGGCTCACCGCGCGACAAGCCAAGATCAACACCGACTTGCCAGCGTTCTCGGGTGCAGCAGAAGAGTGGCCAGCATTCCACCACATGTTTCAGTCTACGACCAAGCAATGTGGCTTCACGGAGGCTGAAAACATTCAGAGATTGCGGGTCTGCCTAAAAGGTCCTGCAAAAGAGGCAGTAAGAATGCTCCTCATCGTGCCAGAGAACCTGCCGAAAGTTCTCTCAACGCTGGAAAGGAGGTTCGGGCGGCCAGAACTAGTAGTCACGGAGCTCGTATCGAAGGCGAAATCAGCTAAGCCGGTACGCAGTGACGATGTAGAGACCTTGGTGTCGTACAGCACCTCGGTTAAGAATGTAGTGTTATGTATGAAGCTGCTTGGTAGCTGTGGACATATGTCCAACCCTACCCTCCGACAGGAGCTAGTGAATAAGCTGCCAGTTGCACTGAAGATGCAGTGGGGCGAATACTTGGCGGAGAAAAGGATCCAGATGGATTCCCTCGACCTGGAGGTCTTCGCAGACTGGCTAGAAAATCGAGCAGAGGCTGCGCTGAATGTGGCCGGGCCGTTTGCCAAAGCGGCCCCTCGAGCAAGTAATGCAACAGCTATGCACACCACAGGTGGTCCAGCCAGCACAACTAAGCCAGTGTTGCAGTGCGCCAAGTGTGGTAAAGCGCACTCCCTCACCAGCTGTGATGTCTTCCGCCAACTGTCAGTGAAGCAGCGGTGGGACTTCGTGCTTGGAACATCGCTATGTGTGTGCTGCTTCAAGACAGGCCACTGGAAGTCCGAATGCAGAGGCAGTGGTTGCAACAAGTGCCGAGGCAGACACCACCCTGACCTCCACCAAGAGCGCGCACCTCCGGCCAACCAAGGCTCAACGAGCAGGAGCACAAAGCCACGAGAGAATGTGGTTCCGCAACACAGCACGAATACGTCGGTGGCAACCACGCAGAAGACCGCTTTTATGGTAGTCCCTGTCGTGTTATGCCATCAGGACAAGACGGTGCGGGCCACAGCCATGATGGACAGCGGTTCTTCAACAACATACCTGAAAGACAGTGTGGCAAACGACCTCGGGCTGCAGGGAACACCAACGGCATTTACGGCGTCGGTTCTGGGGGGAAAGACAGTCTCAGGAAAGCACCGTCGCGTAAAAGTGACAATGGCGTCGGAAGACGGCTCATATGAAACCCAGCTGGAAGCATGGACGCAGCCAATAGTTACAGCACCGATGGAGATGATCGAGTGGAACTCGAGGAGACACATGCACAAGCACCTCCAAGAGGTTACCTTCCCGCAGGTGACTGGGGACCAAGTCGACCTGCTGATAGGACTCAACGTGCCAGAAGCGCACAGAGTACTGGAAGAGCTGGCAGGACAGCCGGGCGAGCCAGTTGCTCGAAAACTTCCCCTCGGATGGGTATGTTTCGGTCCCGTCAAGTCGCAAGCGGCAGAGTTCACAGAGACGTCCCTGCATGCGAATGTCAGCGACAGGAGCAACGCAGTTCTCGACGACCTCGTCGCAAAGTTCTGGGAGGTAGAGAGCGTTGGTTTGGTTCCTAAGGCTACGAAAACGGTCGCGGAGGAGGAAGCACAACGTATGGTTGAAGGAAGCATGAAATTGATGGATGGCAGAGTGTCGACGGCCATACCGTGGGTCAGCACCGATAAGAAGCCAGATCTCCCACCGAATCGTGAAATGGCTGAACAGCGACTGAGAAACCTGGAGAGGACTCTGAGGAAACGACCGGAAGTCTACCAGCAGTATTCCGACGTCATCAAGTCCCATATAGCCAAGGGCTACATCCATCCGTGCCAGGAGACAGACCAACAGTGGTTGCTTCCTCATCTGGCGGTGGTACGAGCAGATAAAACTACGACGAAAGTACGAGTGGTATTCGATGCCGCTGCCCGATGCCAGGGCAAGTCACTCAACGACGAGATGCACTCTGGACCGAAGTTGCAGAGAGATCTGGTACACGTGCTGATGAAGTTTTGCCTAGAGCCTATAGCGCTAGTCGGCGATATTGCAGAGATGTTTCTGCAGGTGGAAATCGCTCCAGAAGATCGCAAGTATTTGCGCTTCCTGTGGCGCGACACACCGGATGAGCCAGCCGCCATGTATGAGTTCTCTCGGTTGGTATTTGGGCTGAAGGCATCGCCATACCTGGCATGTCGGGCTCTGAAGGCAACGTCAGCAGAGCACGGCGCATCCTTCAGCAAGTTGGCTCGGGAAGCAGTCGATGAAGCGTTTTACGTTGATGACCTGCTCGACTCACTACCGACTGTGGAGTCCGCCATCAACACTCGACAGGAAGTCCAGAGTCTGCTCGGAAAGGCGTCTTTCCACGTCCGCAAATGGAGGAGCAACAGTCAAGCCGTGCTAGAGTCTATACCGGACGAGGACTTGGCCAAAGAGGCACTGCTATGCATCAGCAACGACAGTCAGCAAATACCAGCGGTGGTGAAGACTCTCGGTGTGGTGTGGGACGCCAAGACAGACACCTTCAGCTATACGCACCGTGCTCCTGAAGAACAACAGTGGACCAAGCGTCAAGTGCTGTCGAAGATGGCGAGCATCTTCGACCCTAGAGGCCACATTGTGCCCTTTACCATGCGGGCGCGGCTGATGTTTCAGGAGCTTTGTGCAGCTGGGATCGGGTGGGACGACCAGATTCCGGCCGAGCTGAACGAGAAGTGGTACAGGTGGTTTGCCGAGCTGGAGCACCTCAGCAAGATCAAGATACAGAGATGTCTCAAGGAAACGGATCGCCCAGCCCATGAGGCATCACTGTCGGTACATGTGTTCACCGACGCTTCGGCCCATGCAACAGCGGCAGTGGGTTATGTCCGAGCGGAGTACCCCGATGGACATGTGCGCATCAGCATTGCGCTTGCTAGAGCCAGAGCCACACCACTGAAGAAAGTCACGATTCCGAAGCTGGAGCTCCGCGGTGCAGTGCTGGGTGTGCAAGTAAGTGCCGCCATCAGTGAGGCCCTCCACATCCCCATGTCCGAACACAACTTCTGGACTGATTCGATGAACGTCGTACACTGGGTGAGGAGTCCGGCTAAGAACTTTACTTCAGACGTCGCTAATCGAATAGCGGCAATACAGGAGTCGACAAAGCCGACGCAGTGGAGGCACGTGCCTGGAAAGATCAACCCAGCAGACTTGCCAACTCGGGGGGTGAAGGCCGAGGATCTACCCGGTAACGAGTGCTGGTGGCAAGGGCCTGCATTTCTCCGCAACACCAAGGAGTCCTGGCCGCAGACTGAGTTGACCAACAAACCGCAGCTTCCGGGCCAGGTGAAGAAGACGATCGAGCTGGCATTCACAGCGGTAGAGCCGGACAAGGGTCGTCTTGATGTTGAGAGGTACTCGCGTTGGACACGTCTGATTCGCGTCACATCATGGTGCTGGCGTTTTGTGAGCAACGCTAAGCTGACAGCAGATGCAAGAGTCATGAGGGGGCATTCTCAGGATGCTAGTTCGGCTCCCACGGAGGTCGTCTGTGCTAACGCCCCAGGAGCGAAGGCTAACCCTAGTGCCCGCAGACATAAGATCGTCAAGGTGCCAGAGTTGATCGCAGCTGAGATCGAGCATGCTGAGCGGTTCTGGATCGCTCAGGGACAACAAGAGGCATACCCAGAGTCTTGCAGGATATTGATGGCCGGAAGAGAGCTACCTCCATCTGACCCACTCTACAAGTTAAGCCCCGGTGTAGATACATCAGCAAAACCACCGGTCCTGGTACTTTGTGGACGACTGAAGTATGCGGAACACCTACCGGCCAGTATGCGGAGACCTATGGTTCTGCCTAGCAAACATCCTGTCACGCAGCTTATTGTTCGCCACCAGGATGAGAAGTGCGGACATGTCGCCGGGTCGCATCAGCTACTTTCTATCCTGAGAGAGCGATTCTGGATTGTCCACGGACTGTCAGTCGTGAAGGCTATGAAGAGAGCGTGTCTGAAGTGCCAGAGAATAGTGGCAAAACCAGCGCAACAACTCATGGGACCACTGCCGAGTTACCGAACACTTGGAACCAAGCAGCCATTCTCGCAGTGCGGAGTCGATTACGCCGGACCGTTCTATACCAGTCAAGGACGAGGGAGAGCGCAGCAGAAACGTTACCTCTGTGTGTTCACGTGTCTTGAAACTCGGGCCTGCCATCTCGAAATGTCATTCGGGCTGGACACAGAGTCCTTCTTGATGTCGTTTTCCCGGTTCACCAAGCGCAGAGGAGTTCCATCGTTGATGCTGTCCGATAACGGCACCAACTTTGTCGCCGCTGAACGGGAGCTGCGTGAAGCGGTGGAGGCACTCGACCGGGCGAAGATTTGTCGCGATGGAGTCCATCGGGGTATTCAGTGGAGGTTCAATCCCCCGAGAGCGCCGCACCATGGAGGCGTCTTTGAGAGTATGGTCAAGTGCGCCAAGAAAGCACTTGTCTTAGTCTTGTCTCGGGCCAATCTACGGGACGAGGAACTGATGACGGCAATTGTGGAGGCTGAGAGCTTGTTGAATAGCCGGCCATTAACAGCCATTTCAGACGACCCCAGTGACATGACTCCACTGACTCCTAATCACTTCATTGTTGGACGCTTGGATCTTCCCTTAGCTCTGGAGGAGGCCGCCTGCCGAGAGAAGAATGTTCACCCTCGTAGACGCTGGATGGCTCTTCAATTGCAAGTGGACCATGTGTGGAGGCGTTGGCAGAAAGAGCTTGTCGTGACCTACAACATGCGGAAGAAGTGGCTCCAACAGAAGCCGAATCTGAAGGCAGACGATCTGGTGCTGGTTATGGAAGATGGCATATCTCGTGGTCATTGGCCGCTTGGAAGAGTGGTGGGAGTACATCCGGGTCAGGATGGCCTGGTGAGAGTTGTGGACGTACGGCTGAGCAACAAGAAGGTGAAGCGACGTGCCATTCAGCGATTAGTGCCATTGACTGCAGACGGCGAATGAGAAAGAGACATATTCATTATTGACTCGGTCGGAATACTCAGTGTAATGTGGTGTGATTGGTCACTTTCATATGTTTAGTCTTTGCATATTTAGCTACACGTATGTTTGTAGAGCCCATCGTTCATCTTTTGTTCTTTTAGGCTCTGAGGGGGTTGCCTTTTTGGTTTCTTGTTTTGTTTCACCCTCGGAACTCCTCGTGTGAGAGGGGGAGAATGTTGCAGTTAGACTGGTGCAGCATGCTGGCTGTTAGAGTACAATCATTCATGCGTGATATGGATAGGCGGATGTGTTAGAGCTATGATCCATGTGTGCTTCTATTCATGCATTCCCATCAAGAAGGCCATGTGTCAGGTCTATTCAGTACTCTGGTGTCTAGACGTCTGCATTCTATTGTTGTATCACATTACATGGTCGAGTGTTGCCATAGGGTCTTTCTATACCATGTATGTGCGTGCACTGTTATTAGCTATTGCTATCTTTTGTTAGGCCAGAGTTGGTTTTAGCCTAGTTGTGGAGATGTTCAGGTTTTAGTTCTTGGAGAGTTGTGACTGTTTTCAGATCATGAGTCAGTGTAAACATTGTGTCCTGGAGATCTTTGTGTGTGGATAATCCCGGTTCCGGGGAGAAACGGAATAGGATGTGTCAATCTACTGGGAAGTGCCAATTCCAACAGCAGCGCCCGTTGGAGCAAACAGACCCGACATTATTATCAAGGGCAAAGATGAAGCGTTCCTTGTGGACGTAAGTGTCCCTCTGGATAGGAACATCCGCCGAAAATCTGTGGAAAAGATACAGAAATATCAAGGCCTGAAGCGTGAGGTGGAGCAGATGTGGCAGGTGCGGGCCAAGATCGTGCCAGTAATTGTGGGGGCATTAGGTGGATTAACCCCCTCGACTGCTGACTTTGTGAGGGAACTGGATGCCGGAGCCAGTGTATCGATCTTGCAAAAGGAGGCGCTCCTTGGCACAGTTGACATCATCAGGTCAATAACTCAGATGAAATAATAATTACACTCTAATAAGTTACATTGGTTTGCGAATGCCCATGGTTATGGTTGCTGCTATTAGTTGAAGCACGTATTTGCAGAAAATAATAATATTATGATCGTAATATTAATCACTTGCCAATAACAAAGACAACAATAATACCATCAGCCCCCATTCACCGGTTTTGACGGTGCTTCACTGAAGTTGAATGAGAAGAATTATATTGCTGCCTTCAGTGCTATTGTGTCGCTGAAGGGCTCGATTTCAGATTTGATGACGGTTACTTTTCAACGGATTTTGTTTTCTGATTTAGCTCTCTTGCTATTACTGTACCTGCTTGTGTTAAGTCTCATTCTCGCAGATTAGTTGTATAATAGATTGTACATGCATCATTGTAGATTTGCTGTTCACAGTATTTCTCTCTTTTTTCTTTCTTTTTTCTCAGTCTTCCTTATTATATTTTCTTCACATACAACAGCAGTACTCCCCATGGTCTTAAATGACCCGGGATGCTGCATAATACAAACACAAAACCAATAAAGCCACCCCCATAATAATAATTTGCAGCCTCGAAAATGGTCGATGTGTGAAGCAATGTTATTGAAGATGCATTTTGATTTTTCCACAATGCCTCTCCTTATTTAAAATGAACGAATAGAGGTTACTCACTGGCTAAGACCCCCAGGAAAGGTATCTGTGTGCAATTATTGCTGATGAATTGCAATTACAAGTGGTAGAAATAGACAAGGAGTGGAATAGATGAATATTAGCACCATCCTAGCATTGAAGTAGTGTTGTAAAGTGCTCGCAGATCAATATGAACTAAAGACACTACATGTTTGGGGCATTTACTAAATCAGTTGTGTTCAAGTATGTACACATATTAATAGTGGAATACTCTTTTGGTACTAGCCTAGGAGGTGCTTCTTCTTTAGCCATAGATGCACAGAATGTTTTTGTTAGCTCCATATGGGCTATATCTAGGCTTGGATATTGCCAACTATGGTTTTTATTGGCAGGGGAAACTGGGAAGAACAAAACCAATTTTTGAAGAGGCCAAATCCTATATAATATTATAGGATTTTGAAAATTCTGGACACTCTTGCACGGGAAGGCCTGTTACAGAAAAAGTAAAGCCCTTGTGCTGGTGAAACTTGGCAGGCATCATCTCTGATAAACACGGAATGCAGACTCCAACAGGTTTTTGAAGAAAGAACTTTACTTTGTAAGGTATGATCTACTCTTTCCCAAAATTGGGAAAAATCCTATATACAGTAAAACCTGTGACTAACGACCACCCCTTGGGGCCAGAGAAAGCAGTCTTTAGTGGCAGGTGGTCCTTAGTTAGAGGTTTGCACCGCCCAACCATGTATGAATGTGAGACCGTCCATGCCTGGCAAAATGGTCTGTAGTACCAGGCTGGTCGCTAGTCACGGTGGTCTTTAGTTACAGGTTTTACTGTATAGGATTTGACAGACAAAGAGATAGGGAGATTTTCTGGAAAGAAATAGGGAGACGAGGAGGAAATGCAATTAGAATGGACGTTAGTTGCCGAATAGGTGATAGGATGCGTCAGCAAAAACATACTTTGGAAGAGAGATCCCGTCGTCTCCAAAATAAGCGTGAACGGGCGAGTCAGCGCCGGTCACAGGAAACGTCGGAAGAGAGATCCCGTCGACTCCAGAAAAATAAGCGTGAACGGGCGAGTTAGCGCCGGTCACAGGAAACGTCGGAAGAGAGATCCCGTCGACTCTAGAACGCCCGTGATCGGCAGAGTCAGCGCCGGTCCCAGGAAACGTCAGGACAGACATCCCGTCGACTCCAGAACGCCCGTGATCGGCAGAGTCAGCGCCGGTCCCAGGAAACGTCAGAACAGACATCCTGTCGACTCCAGAACGCCCATGATCGGCAGAGTCAGCGCCGGTCCCGTAGCTATGCAGAAGACGTTACTTCAGTAACTCATTGAAACGTTTTTGCAATACAATGATGTAGCTAATCAAACAGTTCTAACAACATGCACGATGAGCTAGGCAACAAAGCATAGCGTAGGGCCCCGAGCTTCCAAGCTCTCTCGTTATCCCTGCCACGTCGGTATACATGTACATGTAAATAGTGCAGTGGTGGGTGCTTTGCCATTTTGTGTAAAATAAGCCCCTGAATGGACGAGGGGGGCAGTGAATTGCTTCCGCAGGGCCTTTGGACGAGGTCAGGCCGTCTTGCCATCACTAAAGACAATAATGAAGAACAGTAGGTCACGGAATACACTCTGTGAGAACGAAAACATGGCTGAGATGCTATGCTACCTATCCAATTCTACCGTATGACACAGCCACTACGCACTAGTTACAAATTCAAAAACACAGCTTTCGCAGCATACAATGCAGTTGACAGATTAATTTTCATCCACTAGCATTTAGTAATCCTTGAAGTGATATCTATCAACTTCAGAACATTGATGACCGAATATCTCAGTTTGTGATGCCATTTTACACATTTGTTAAAGGGGAAGTTAAGGCAAAAATTAAAATTTCACCAGTTGTAGTCTTCGGGGTGCTGAGTCGAATGGTCTTGGTCCGAGAAAGCTGAGACGCTCCCTTCCTACTTGAATCCCAATCGAACTCGCGCACTTCCACCGAAACTGGGTGACTGCGCCCTACTAGATGGGGATTTGTATGCAAAATGTCACTAAAAGCGCCATTTCGTTCTTATAAAAGCACAGATGACCGCGATTGGCCCATATGTTGTAGTCTTTTGGACGCTGAGTCGACTGGTTTTGGTCCGAAAAGGCTGCGATACAGCGTTCGCCCCTAATTCCCAATCGAACATGGTTGAACAAGCGGTCACGTGCTCCTGCGTACACCAGTCAGCTGGTCACCGTGCCTGCAGGGTACAACTTACAGCCTGTTTTGACCTTTTTTGGGTGCAGTCCTGTCACTCGAGTTGAACCTTGGTGTGAAAGTTGTCGCCTGCTGGCGTTGTGACCAGGTGATTTGGGCACCCAGGAGCACGTGACCGCTTGTTCAACCATGTTCGATTGGGAATAAAGGAGGAACGCTGCATCGCAGCCTTTTCGGACCAAAACCAGTCGACTCAGCGTCCAAAAGACTACAACATATTGGCCAATCGCGGTCATCCGTGCTTTTATAAGAACGAAATGGCGCTTTTAGTGACATTTTGCATACAAATCCCCATCTAGTAGGGCGCAGTCACCCAGTTTCGGTGGAAGTGCGCGAGTTCGATTGGGATTCAAGTAGGAAGGGAGCGTCTCAGCTTTCTCGGACCAAGACCATTCGACTCAGCACCCCGAAGAAGTAGCAATGTACGAGCGGGTTCTGGGCCAGGGGGCGCCCGGGTCCCAAAAAATGGGGTATTATTGAAAAATGGGGTACTAATAGTACCCCATTTTTGCGGTGAAAATTATTTTTGGCCCGGTTTTTTTGCGGATAAAAATATGTGCCAGGGGGTGCCCCTACCTCAAAAAAAAGGGGGTATTATTGAAAATATGTATTGGGGTGTTATGCTCTACCCTAAACAATAAAGTAATATGGTGTCATCATTATGTAAGTATAAAAGGTGTGTTCTTGAATGATGATCCAGTCAGTTTCAAGTTGTTGTGGTGCAGTGAAAATGGATTCTGAATTTGAGATCCTGTATGCTTATGTACGTTCAAAGAAGCAATGTGTGCTGGAGGAAAAGAAGAAGAAGAAGAAGAAGGAGATAGAGGAAAGTGAAGAAGTGTGTTATCATCGTGAAGAACAAGTTGAGCATGCTGGTCATAGAGTTTGTTCTCAGTGTGGATTGGTAATGGCTGACATTTACATGCCCGAGGTAAAGTGGAGAGAGCGTTGTACTAGCATAAAGACCTACACGGATTCCGATCGCATTCAAGGTGTGAATCGTCATCTTGTACATTTTCTCAACAAGATCGACTTCACTTTACCGCATGCACAGTTTCACCCTGTTCAAGAGGCACTGCAAGCAATGAAGAAGTCCAGCAGCTATAAAAGCATGAA